CCTACAAAGAAAACTCGCTCAGTAGACATTCACTTTGAATTCACGTCAACGTCTGGGTATCCATACTAACAGCGGATGCTCGGGGTCTATCTCCTTGAAGATCTCGTAGATCGCATCTGGATAGTGGGGAATATTCTTATCCAAACGGCAAAACAACCACTCAGCCCTACTCATCGCATCCCTAGACACCTCCGGGATGGGTTCATTGGTAATTTGAGATAAAAGGTAGGGAATAGCCTTGTAATATTTCCCTAGCTTTAGTCTTTTCAGCGTTTTCCGTAGACTTTGCGGGGTTGGCTCTCTTAAGTCAAGCGCAATTATTTCCATCGTTTCATCTCCTAGATATACCGGTCGAAGTCCTCGTATGTGGTCCATCCAGTCCCTAAAGTATCTTATTCTCTTATAAGGCGTTTTCTTACGACCTCCATTGGCGTAATAYTGCTCTCTGGTAGCATTTGGTACGGCATTACGAATATTCTTACCACACTCGTAACACTGTGCTGACGTGTCATCTTCTATTTGCATTTTTTTACCACAACACCAGAAACCCTTGGGCTTGGGTAAATTAACTTTGGGTCTTAGACAAATTATACAGAAGTCATAAGCAAACCCTTTACATTCATGCATATATAGAGCAAATATCTTCGCAAACACAGCAGCAGTAAGGCGCTCCTCGCCGCTGTCGCCGGATCGCGCAAGGGGGTCCCAGGCCCCAGTAATACCCGCATAATTCCAGGTGCATTGCCGACGCTCCGCGAGTCCGCCTTACTGCTGCTAGACTCTCTCAGTCTCTACGAGATATCACAGTCCCACTTTAAAACAGAACGCCGCAAGCTAAAGAGAACTTTTCAGATACTTCCAAATTGGTGGGAACTTTTATCTTTCTTGCTTGCTAGAGAGGAGACGGGGGCTAGATCTGCCATTGCCCCCACCCGCATCCTTCCCTCCCCTTCCTTTCTCGCTCAGCTCTACTTCCGTCAACTCCAATACCTCGCCCAATTGTGTTTGTTTTTCGAAATGGCTCGATTCCCCTGAAACTTCCCTAAATATTTTTTTGTTATCCATCAGTTGTCAAACCAGAACGTACCCCATGCAACGCTTTCAAAACCAACCAATCTAAATCTGCTCCTACTGGTTGTTAAGCTGAAAGAGACAACTGTGCCAGACAACCGAGTAAATTCAGACTCCCTACCCTCTCTCCCCTAGTTTTTGACTATTGCTCCCCTAGTGACCGCACTAAGATGACATAAATCATATTTAAGACATCCGTAAATTCTAGAATGTGACGGCTCAGATAACAAAGAAATTTTAAAAGAAACGCCTGACGTTAGTCCGTTTGAAACAATCGAGCTTACGTGACCTTTGCTGTTGGGTGTCAACCAATCACGATGTAAACAATGAAAATTAGACATGACACTATACAGTTGTTTACTCGGGCTACCTGGACAAGCGACACATACACAACTTTCAGTATTCATTTGGTGGTTGTCTCCAAAAGGTGCGGTTAAGAATTACGCCATAGAAAAGAATGTTCGTTTGAGTTCTTAGTAGAGAGAAATAATTTTCGTGTCTCTCACTACGAGTTACGTTAAATAACATTAATCTTTCGGTGAAATTATATTTTTAGGCTAGAAGATATAATGACCTAAATGTGGAATTATTATAGAACAAAATGTGAAATATATCGATATAAGTATACCCGGCCATTAAAGATGGGTTTGACTGCTTGAGGTTTGCATTAAAAAAAAACATCTAAATTATTAATTTCCCAGCTTTGAATGGATGGATACTCGTATACAGATTCTCAGGGATTCTCATTAGTTTTGACATATACTCCGTAATGATATATTAGTATATGTAATAGGACTCCATGCTGTCCAATTAAGAAATAATTGGACGAGGAAAATTCCGAGGACTTCCAAAATTGGATGAGGCCGTAGACCGAGTCCCATTTGGCAGTCAGAGCAATTTTTCGAGTCTAATTATTTCTTGATTGGGGAGCATGAAACCCCATTACCTATTAATTATAGAGCTGCCTAATTAATCCCATATCAACAAGACCTGTTCAATTAAGAAAATAATTGGACAGTTACCTATATGGGATTAATGAGAGGCTGCATAATTATATGAGTTAAAAAGTCATCAATTACGACTAGTAATGATTAAATCTTATTTTGGTGGGGTTTTTTCCTTTTCCTTTTCGTTATACATATATATTGAACCTATTCTTATTCTTATTTCATTTCATGCCCTTATATTCTAAATAGCCACATACTCATTGTTTTCTTCAATATTGTAATTTTATTTCTTCACGATTGTTATTGTAATTGTCTTCTTTTCCCAAAAATGAGAAAAACCTTGTAATTTTTTGTCGAAACCACTGTCCTGCTACAATTAGTCCTTACTATATAGCTATTTGCAGGACACTGGTAGTTTTCTTTTCCTATATGTAATAATTCTTTTCCACAATAAACTTGAACTCAAACTCGAACTTTGATGCGTTACGGCTAATGAAAATGAAAATGGTTGATATTTGCTAGAATTTAATTTTAAGGCCTTTTGATTTACGAGTTACAATACCCTATTCGAACCCTATTTCAGTATAGGAAGCCCCAGTAAACGCCATCTGCGCGATCTACACCCAGAATTCCAGACGTGCACCACAGAAGCTTGAAAAAGCTTTAAAAACCCTGGCATTTAGTAATTGTGCGTTGGGTATTTGAACGTTGAAGAGGGTTGAAGTCTGTCTTTACGATCTTGTGAAATTTGTATTTTGTACCTCTGAAGTTTTGCAGCCATGTCTGAGGTGAGTTGTTTGGTCGCTCAAGCTACTTTAAAACCTTTACCGTTTTCGATTTCTATTGGTTTATATATTTCATATAAGGATTATTCTGTCTTGTAAACAACTTTTAGGGAGTGAGGTTGTTTGCTCCTCGCTGGCTGACATGTGTCGTCAAAGATTCTTTCTGTGACGCTTTGTTACTCGGCAGCGCACAGAATTACCGTCAACTTTATTTTTCTTGCTGTTCTTGTACATCTTGCAACTTTTCTTTCACCATGTTTTACTCTTTATAACTCCATCTGTTGCATGAATCCTTAATAAAGTAGCAGGTGGCTTTTAATTTGAGCTTCAGATACTGATATTTATAGTAAATCTCTTACTCCACCACACATCATTTGTCTTGCATGCAAATCACTAAAGCAATTTATAAAGATAAATTGGCATTTATCCAATCAAATGACATTTTAAAACTTATCTATAGCGTTAGAATAACTTAAAAACTAATTTATAAAGAACTAGTAAACGAGCAAGGGTTGTATAAATAATGCACAAAACATTTAGGAATTTTATAGGACGGAATACGAGAGCATCAAACCTTCCCTCAGTGATAGCTCAGTGTCGACTGCATGACAAGGGTCAAGTGAAAATTGGCTACACACGATAGCACACCCTGACAATATTCAAAGAAAATCTTAATTAGAAATTTCTTCATCGAAATTCGAGTATGTCTGACTCAATGGCAGGAGATTTGAGAACCTAGATCTGATAGAAAATTCTTATTTGGCCTGTGGAATCGAGCTATCTTGATCACAGGCCATTGCTTTTGAATTTTCCAGCGTCGTATGTTATGATTGGAATCTCGCCTCGATACAGTCCACACCTTAATCTACCAGACTTGTCATTTGTACTCTTTACTAGGCATTCATCTTACTAAACAAAGCGGCGATTAGAATATTTCATTAAAACATGTATTACTTATTTGTTCATCAAAGCTTGAAGCAAACAAAACCTTCCGAAATATAAATAATATTTTTTTGAATATAGTTAATTAATTTATTCAGACACGCACCTAGCTCGCATCTTTCATTACATCCACCAAACTTAGGTTCTAAACTCACGAGAATCCAAAAAAATGTTGTTTTAACGAAATAAATGAAATAATTTGTTTACCAAAGTATTTACCAAACGAGCCCCAGCAAAGCTAAAAAGATTTTAAATTAAAAACAATTTGTATGGTACAGAAATATATAATTCAACTCCAAAAAAAAATCTTACGAAGGATTCGTTTCTCAACTCTTTCCTTTGCAAAGGACAGTGCTAAAGACTTGTTATGTATTGTTTAAAACAATGCGATTAATCAGTATTTTTTCTGTTTTTCTGACTGTTATTTATCTTCATTGAGGTCACCATTATTAGCGTTACCAAAGTATCAATTTCCCATGCTTCAGTATCTATTTTTTTAACTTAAAAAGAACTTCATTTTACTTATTTGCCTAAGTATTTAACATAACATGAGTATTGTTTCGTTAAAGCAGTTTAATAGATATGTCGCTCTTCATGTGCACGACCAGAAAGGAATGCTATTGAATTTCTCTTAACCGTGAACCTGAGGTCATACGTAATACATGAATACTGTAGGAGGCATATTACTTTAATTTTCATTGCTGAGAATGCCTGATGCGATAATTAAGGACCGATTGTTCATTACGTCGTAGGGGGAGCGGAAGCGGGAGGGGGAGCGGAAGCGGGAGGGGGAGCGGAAGCGGGAGGGGAAGCGGAAGCGGGAGGGGGAGAGGGAGGGGAGCGGTAGGGGGAGGGGGTGAGTTTTTGGTAGAAAAATAAGTAAAATTCGTACCCTCCTACAATATCTTTCAATAAAAACGTACCCCCTCCTTCATGATTTAAAACATGTAGCTCAAATAAAAAGTTTATTGTATTCATGAAATACCTAGAAAATTTTACCCCCATGTTTTGCAATTATAAAAATGTATCCCCCAATTTTAACTGATTTTGAAACTACAAATTCACCACCCCTCCTCCCCTCCCCTCCCTTGTGACGTAATAAAACGATCGGTCCCTGGGCCAATTTGGGTTCAAGCCGATTAGGAAGGCGTAACACGTTTTAATCGTGCTTGAATTTTCCATAAAAAACACTGGAATATAGAGGTGGAGACGGAGGGGAGGGGGGGGGGGKGAAAATGCTAGATATTCAACTAAATAGTGTGTCTTCAAAAAAATATATTTTACTTAACGCTTACTAAGGTATTCATCTCGATATTTCACTAAATATAGGAAGCATGAGAGCTATTATAATTGTCATCGACCAAATCACCGTCATCAATAATTACTCCCGTGTTCACTGCATCTGTTTTAACGGTTTATACAACTAACCGTGGTATTCTAAGGACTAAGAGATTTCTGATGAAGTTCCAAGCTTGGGATAATCTATAACGATAGCTTTTGCGGGACTTAAAATGCAGAAACTTTGTTCGTGATTAATTGAACTGATGGCTCACCTTCCTAAAATTCTTGTCTTCGCATCATTCATATATGATATTTTTAAGGGAATTCCGAAATAGCTATCTATTGTTTTGTTTCTTTTCAAAGTTTCATTGCAAATTTAGGCCTCTTAGGAGTCTTAGTTTATTTGCCGTTCATAATTATTTTTGTTTTCTCTACAATTAAGATATTAAAAGGAACTAGAGACAGCCTATAGGACCGTTTATCCTATAAAAAGCAGTTATTGTAGTCTTATAAAATTTTCGTCAGTGAAATGAAGTTCCTAATTAGGAGCAATATCTAAATAGGTCGTGTCTATTTAACAAACCACGTAATCTGACATTCCACTTCGGATATTAACCATGCAGTGACAAAGATATGGATAAGTCAGCTTATCTCATCAACTCAATGTCGCTTTTTTACACAGATAAGTAACCGCAGGGAAAGAAAAATGAAAGGAAAAAAAACATATGAAACAAGCTGTTGTCAAGGAACTTTGCTTCTGGTGTTTTCCGTAAGGTTTCCGAAGTGAAAGATTAGCGATTTGTTAGCGATTGATTTTTACACACAGATAACCTAAGTGACCGCAGTTGGGAGAAAAGACTTAAATGGGACTCTCTTACTCTGGTCTTTTCCGTGTGGTTTACGAAGTTTTAGCGATTTCTTATCGATTGATCAGTTTCACCATATTTTCACATTTAACGATTCTCTTCTCGTCGGTTTTTCCGTTGGGTTTACGACTTTTTTAGCGATTTGTTATCGATTGTTTTTTTATGAAAGCTGCGAACAAAATACGGCTCCAGGCTGGTTACTATCGCTTGATATTTCGTTGTGTGAAAGACTGATATCATCATTGTGAGCTGTCGTGCATCGCTTTCTTTCGATTCAAAAAATTGTCTTAGTTTGCGTGTAATAAATTTGGCTTTAGAAAATATCGGAAAAAAAGATGTTCCTAACTACACTGACGAACAACGATGTGTCCTCTCTTATACCCTACGTCATGTGACATTATTATCATGAACTGATTGTTCTAACTTATCTTTTACTAAAGATAAATGTAACAAGGGATATTTGCCTAAACAATGCCTGTCGATGTCGGCGAGCTTAGCTCGCGCCGATCCCAGGCGGATCCAGGCAAAAGTGTGACCGTTTTCCGAAATCTGACTGTTTTTCAGAACACGTTCAGCCGTTCTGGATGTGCGCCTGCAACCGACCAACTATAACACACGTATATATATTTCAAATCAAGAAAATGTAGTTGTTTACAAGATTGAAAGTGTGACAGACCGCTCGTACTCGATCCGATATTAGCTATGGTTCTTACACACAGGTCAATATCTGGGAGTGATTCAATGGGATGGAACATCTTGTTTAGTGACCACTAATAGAAACTCGAAATACTGATTAGAACTAAAGTTTTGGCTTCGCTTTTTTAAAGAAAACGTCACATCAATTTAACAGTTGTTTATCTGGGCTTTGACAGTCATGTTCTACTCCCAACCCCTCCCTAGACGGTCACTGGATAAGCTGATTGCTTGGGTGGAATTTTCGAAACAAAGTATTAAGTGATTAACGTACCAATAGCAATTATCGCGCCATTAGTCAAGTGCTTGTGACGTTACTGTTATTCTATGTGGTGTATTTTTGTAAAGCGATAAATATTCAGGTTATGAGAGAGATGCGTAATGATGGATAACTAACCTCCTAAGCCTATTAGTACATGCGTCATTCGTGAAGACATCACGGTTTTTTCCCCACACCCTATTAATATTGCAAGCTTCGTTTATAAAGCTGGTAGAAAGGGGCAGGGGATTTATAGGGTAGGGGATTTAGAGGGTAGGGGATTTAGAAGGTAGGAAAGAGTCAGCGCTAAGATATTGGAATGGTTCCTATATAAGGGGGGTGATCAGGGGCAGGGGATTCAGAGGGTTGGGGATAGCCATCGCTAAGATCTTGGAACCGTTCTTGCATCAGGGTGATGGTCAGGGGGAGAGGATTCAGAGGGTAGTGGAGAGTCATCAGTAAGGTCTTGGAATAGTTCTTGCATCAGGGCGAAGGTCAGGGGAAGAGGATTCAGAGGATAGTGGAGAGCTATCGCTAAGATTTTGTAACGGTTCTTGCATGACGGGGGTGTTCAGGGGGAGTGTAGAGGGTAGGGAGGGTAGTGAAAAGTCATCAGTAAGATCTTGGAATGATTCTTGTATCAGGGTGGTGGAGATTGAGATGGGAGGATAGGATCCTCTATAAACCTGTGTTATTAACATGAAGGGAGAATCACCCTTCGTGTAAATGTACTATGAATGAATTTATTTACAATGATGATACGATGTTGTTGTTTTAATAGACTTGCACACAATGTTACATGAAGATCACTGACTCCACTGTAAGGTACCAAAACCAGCCGTATCACGGCACTTGTTTTGTGTGCTGGCATTGCCGCAAGCCTCTTGCAGGCCAGACCTTCCAGATGAGGGATGATAAGAAGGTATGCACATATCATGTTAAGTACGATCATATTTGGTGCATTAATGCCTTCCTGTTTTGCTCCCTGGGTGATTGTTCGGACCTGTCTTTATTCGTCGTCGCTTGCTTGCTTGCTTGCTTGTTTGTTTGTTTGTTTGTTTGTTTGTTTGTTTGTTTTGCTTGCTTGCTTGCTTGTTTGTTTGCTTGCTTGCTTGTTTGCTTGCTCGCTTGTTTGCTTCTTACCCTCCTTTTCCCTCTGTCCTTCCTTTCTGCATCCGTCACTTCATGACTCTCTCCATATCACATTTCCAATCTTTTCACCTCTGCATGTGTACTTCCATCAATCTAAAGCATTTTTCTTAATCTCTCAAGGTCTGCAAAGACTGCAACCGTACTCACTACGCCAAGCGTTGCGTAGCCTGTAGAAACTACATCGAAGGCAACGCCAAGTATGTGACCCGAGATGAGGGCACCTACCACAGCGACTGCTTCGTGTGTGCTCGTTGCAGGAACCCCCTGGCTGGCAAGACCTTCACCGAGCATGAAGGAAAACTAGTCTGTGACGACTGCTATCATGAGCGCTACGCCAAGAAGTGCGAAGTCTGCAAAAATGTCTTGGAGGGTAACATCGAGTTTGTGAAGTATGATGAGAAGTTCTTCCATCATGAGTGCTTCGTGTGCTACCGCTGCAGGAAGCCTCTTTCTGGAGAGTCGTTCCGTATCAGGGGTGCCAACAGGCTGTGCATACCATGTGCTGATCGCTAAACCTCTCTTGCCTCACCAACCGGCTGCCTCTTATTTGCGTTACGTCACTTTTATTTCAATTTAACCCTAAAATATAACTGTAATTTCCATATCTTGACTCTGATTTAGAAATTCGTTTAATCCAAATCCAATGTATCTGAAATACTAAGTCTATGCCAAGTGTATTCTGAAAAACAGGGATACGTTGTTTGATTTAGCAGCGAGGTATCTGTTTTAACTGGGTTGAGTGCAGCCGTTGAAGGTAGTTTGTTAGTATAGGTCTATTAGAATATAACTTTCCATGTATTAAGAATTTTCAAACATTTCTACAAATTAATTTGAACTCTTTAATTTTTGTCCAAGCACAATAAAGACCTAAAAACCACACACTTTGTAATTTCTGGTGTTGAGACGTTTAGACTATGGTATGGAATGCAGATCTGGGTAAAAAAAATGGAGTAAATAAAACCTTTGTAGACGCCATCGAGAATTTTTCACACGCTTCAGAGAAAAATACGTGTATTTTCTCATTTTTTACTGGGTTGCATGTGGCAGCCTAGTCGTAAAATGCCTTTGGTTTGTACTGGGTTGCCTGTGGCCTGTACTTTTCGCAAAGTTTTGAATCCTTTTACTAACCGAGTTTCATTCCATTTCACTGGTTTGGATATTAAAAAAAAACTATATTGGAAGAATATGATCAATAATGGAGAGATCGTGATGAACTTTGGGACGCCTTCTGTCGATCTAATATCTAAGAGAAAATAAGCTTACTTTGGTGTCCTTTTGAGAGTTGTGATCTTTGTAAAACTCGTCATTTTTACTTGTCAGAGTTTTGCTCAAGATCTTTTTAATTGAAAAAAAAAATTAAATAATGCTAGCGAACGCTATAAACGATTATAGAAAGCATAAAAAGGTTTGTTCGAGCTTAAAGTTTGGTTTGTGTTATCGTATGGATTGAGCTGGATTTTTAAAAGTGGCCGGCAGTTTCAATTTGACGGATTTGGGTAGACAGGAATAGGTTTCTCAAAAATAGAAAACCTTCACTTTTCTATATTCTATTATTTTAAAAATCGAAAGCGAAAAAAAGGAGCAAAAGCGTGAGTAGGTATAATATTTAGGTCACCCATCCAAATGCTAACCCTCCTCAGACGAGCTTGATTCAGTATCTTGAATTGAACGAAAACGATTTATCCACTGGAACACGGTTCCAGGTAAATCAGCATAACAATAGCCGTGAAAACAATTCACCGAATAGACTAGACTTTTTAACATCATACTTTCAACCGATTCCGTGCGTGGCAGAGATGTAAGGGATTAGCCGATATGGTCTGGGGGCCGGCTGGTCTCTCCCCTGATGCTTCGGCTAGAACATTTTCTTGCGTAATTCGTACACCCAAGGGCAGAAGGATTTAATCGCCGTCAGGTCCGAAGTCCATACGCCGCCTCAGCTCTGCGGATGTCTCGGGGGTATGGCACATTTGAATCGATTTTTTTGAATTTCTTTTGGTGGGTTCGAATCCCATCATATCCACATAAATATTTTATTTTATTTTATTTTTTTAAATCCATTTTTAGTTATATTTGAATCTTTAACGATAAGGCAATCTTTGTAGTGAAAAAAGATACATTTATTCCTAGTCGGTTGCTTATAAGCCAGTATAAGTTTGATCAGACGTTATCAGTCATATGAAAAATATTTTTCCGCGCGAAAAGTAGAGCTATGCTTTCCTATCTTTTCTGGCAAAGTTTACTGACAAAAACATTTACTGCACTTGGATCATAATATGCCCGCAAAGGACTAGTAGGTGGTGCCGTGAAGACGTCTGGATACTATTGCACTACTATTTTGGTGATTCTGACTGAGAACATTGGGAAATTTGATCTTGTTGCGTCATGGCGCAAGATCAAATTCACAAGTAATGTGACATGCATCTAGACAAGTTAAAAGGAAATCATTCTTCTTTCTGATAAAATACATTATCCTTTGGCTAACATTGCAAACTTCTTCAGCTGTAGGCCTTTGTGTATTATACAGGATATACGTGTTATTTACCGGCCAGGAGGTCCGGATAGGGAAAAACTGTGCCCGAGGTCTTGAATATACGGACCGAGGCCGGTTTCTTTTTTATTTATTTTTTTTATACATGTTTTTGTAATCGTTTTGTTTTAATGTTTAGCAGGAAAGGATACGGACCGCCAGCGCGGGCAGATACTGACAAAATACCGCCCTCTCAAACAGTCAATCAGAACGCACGATTTTTTTAGGATATATAAAAATAAATAAACAATAATGGAGAGATCGAGAACTTCAGAACGGTTCGCGAAAAACAAATAACCATTTAGACATATTTGTAAAGAATTTATGTCGCTTATTTGGCCATGTACACGGTTCTTGGGATAAATATATTTATTTCGTCAGTCAAAACGAGTCTTTGTCAAGTCAAAGGTTCTTGTGTAATTCAAGATGGAGGGTATATTTAAACTTAGTGACGTCAGTAACGCAACCGTTGTTCCTGGGGGGAAAATACACCTAAAAAGTTCCAAAGTACCACCTACCCGCAAATAGCAGTACATAACAAAGATTAGGTGTCAAGTAAGCTCCAGCATACCAGCACATTGGGCAACCCAGTGCAAGCGTCAAGAGCGTCTTGTTGCAATTGAACTTTAAATACGAAGTACAACCATAACAGCAAACAAACAAACAAAAAAGCAAGCAAAGAAAAAAATCGATGACCAATGCTGTAAGTAAAAGTAAAGATGCGCGCGTTCCACACCGCACGGCCGCAAATTGCGAACGCTTATTGTTTTACTGCATCTAGGAACAGCGCATCTCCATACGAAAAAGACTGTTATTTCCAATTTCCAAACTATCGGTACTTACACTAATTAGTGTTGATATGTAAATATTCTGATCAATCAACATTAAAGGATTGTATATTAGAAGAAAAAAACCCAGAAATAGACGGTACGTTTTTGAAGTTTTACCTTTATTTACAAAGCATGATAGCTGCTCTATTTCTTAAAATCATTAATTACATGGATCATAGTCCACATTTAATAATTTTTTGTATTGTAGAAAATTTATTACATATATTCATTACGAAGGGTTCTTGCGAAATTTTGTAGTGTGTAGTTTACACATCACATCTCTGTATACGCCTCTGTTTACACATCTGTATAAATCTTATATGAGATAGTTTACTCTCACTTTCTCCCCCATCCCTCCCCATTATCGAACCGTTACCAAGATCGTCACGCAACCCTCTTACTACTTAGGGAAGAGAGCGTTGCGTGACGATCCCTCATTATTTGCCATAAATAATGCAGCCAATCCCTTGTGAAAACTTAGACATTTAAATAAGATATATATATCTTAGAATAGAGACTAGAGATCTTAAATATTCTTTTCACTTTGCTTTCCGAAGAAGCCATCAAGTTATTTCCCTTCTGAATCGAGTCTATCTCGCTAACTCGTCTGATCTTTTCCCATTCACTTCTCTTGTTCATTGATAACAACACTTTTTTTCTTTGATCTTCTCAGTGCTTGTGTTAATTGGAGGATCTTTTTTCGGCTTTCTCGATTACTGTTCGCTTGCCAATTCCTGTGAATGAAAAGTTAGCGAGAAAACTAATTCAATCCTGCGGGAAAGGTGTGGAATGGACTAGACAAGCTAAGGACGCACATAGATAGAAGCTTTATATGACGCCATATTGGCCATGTTAAGTATGCCGGACAGTGCGAGAAAGGATAAGACAATTTTATTTTGAAAAAGCATCAAGAAATATTTTATAAAACAGCAATAAAAAAATCGTGCGCGTGTGTGCTGTGTGCTTTCATAATGCACGCGCTCCCAACCAATCAGAACGCGAGATTTATAACATTATTTTATAATGGCAAATAAAATAATTAAGAGTATTATATCAGCTTACCTGGAATGTGTTCTGTTCGAAGGATTTGCAGTCATAAAGGGAGAGAGAGAAAAGGAGAAAAATATATATTAAGAAATGGATGTATCTTAGTATCAGTTTATAAAGTAGAGTGCATACCATATATTTCCGTAAAGAAGTTAACAAAATTGTACAAATCAGTGCAACGTTTTGCGGTTTACTGAGGTCTACTGACCTTACTAAGAGACGCAGTATGCGCGTGCAGAAACTTACCTGGACAACCCGCTTGATGTGGTCCAACAGCAGCTGTCGTACCATCTGGACAGCAGCCATACGTGGTTGTTGCGCATGCGTTAACTACTGAGGCTGTTTCTCTTAAAGGTGCAGCAAAGGTTGCTGAAGGAACTGTTGATCATGAATATAATGATAAATCAATCGAGAATCACTACGGAAAATCCTTTATCTCTCGACTCTTCCTTCTTCAAACATCAGTTGAATTTACGATAACAGTGTGCATCGTTTAATTTCATGAAAAAATAAAATTCCCCATTTTTAAATCTTGAAAAACCTTTAAATTAATTTAATCAATACCCTGAAATAACCTCTGGACTGATCTAAGTCAGGGCACGGCTAACTCACAGATAGAACCCTGAAACAACCTCTGGGCTGATCTAAGTCAGGGCACGGCTCACTCACAGATAGAACCCTGAAACAACCTCTTGACTGACCTGAGTCAGGGCACGGTTAACTCATAGATCAAAACCTGAAACAACCTCTAGGCTGATCTAAGTCATGGCACAGCTAATTCATACATCCAATTTGAATTTAGCGTTTTGTGATTTTAAATTTAAAATGATGGTGTGTACTCACCCTCACAGTTCAGACCAGACCAGTGTATGGGGCAATGACAGTCGTAGCGAAAGGCCTTAGTGATACAGACACCTCCATGTTCACACGGATTTGGATGACACCTGTCTTCCTCTAATTTAAACAATACATTTCATTATAATATATGCACATCCCTATGCGCGCTCTAATTGATTCAAAACTGTGGTCTATCGGATACAGAAGACGGTTCTGACTTCACCTGCGCGCGCATGGTGCATGGCCCAGCTTGACAAACGAATGAATGAAACGTATGTTCTGCGCAGAATTACAATGTTCGATGAAGTGTCATTTTCGACTCTCTGATTGGCTCAGAAGACTAAACTTGCTATCCATAGAACTTCATAATGTTCTGGTATGTGGCGCACGCTATTTAGAGCAATTTTCGTATGACTGCATGTGAAAAAGTCGGTGAAATATTCGTGCCCTAGCGCGACCGTGATGTTTTCTAGGACTTTGTTTGGCGGATTTTTTCTCGCGCAATATTATTAGTTTGGCAGAGTCGTGACATTGGCGTGTCCGCGTCGCGCTCGTGTCGTGTTCCGGGCATTAATTGATTGGATGGAGAGTACATTCTCGCGCATGTGATTGGTCTGGCGTATGCCTTATCGTGTCACGACAGTGTGTTCGTACCGGGAGCTTTTCACAGTCATACGAAAACTGCTCTAAGATCCGGCTTACATGATATAAGTTCCTACCTTCAAAATCATCCTAAATTAGTTCATATTACAGTGATATTCCATTGGATACGAAATTTATTGTTATAATCGACTCGAAGAGCAATAAATTTTGAAGGCGAAAATACATTAAGAATTTAAAATCTACTATAGGTTTTTGAGTATTTTTGAGGGGATTTAGTTTAGTCACTAAAGAAGAAAATGTTTTAAAATAACTTTGCAGCATTGGGCACCAGTTTCTAATCGCAAACGGCCTGAATATATCATGCAGACTAGAACAAGAACGCTTTCATGATATGGTCTTTTGTTTATCGTTTACCTTCACACGTGAGTCCCGTCCATCCCGAAGAACAACTGCACACTGCTTCGTTATTTTCAACTTCACATAACCCACCATGACGACAAGGGTTGGGGTGACAACGATCGCGCTCTGAAGAAGAAACAGCATCATAGATTATACATGGGTAAAAAACTCTAACTTAAAGCAAACCTATTTTTTATGGTGCATGACCGTTCCTGAAACAACCTAGAAATGATCAAAGTTAGGGCACAGACAAACTGCTCACGTGTAATGCGGCCGAGTCTTGGAAGCAAGCCTGAGACGTGGGAGGCGAGTGCGTGGCCGAGATTGTGACGCTTTTCCACATATAACGGTAGTATAAAACTTTCTCAAACTCGATCTTTTTAAAGTCACGTGCGATTTTTGTCCTCGGACATGGTTTTTATATTTTTGGATCGTGAGTCACGTCATTGCGGCCACGTTGGTGGCATTTAAGAAACGATTTATCATTAGCATGCATTGTAAACCGCACCAAGATGGCCGCCATGTTTTTGTCTTTTGACACTCTTGGGAATGCTTGCAACCCATCAATTCTACAGCACACTTATCGTGTCAAAACATATGGGAGTTACTCTATTGACACAGGGACTAATCGTGACCACTTGACTAAAACTGATCAATCAGAGATTGAACTGATAACATTGTTAGCCGATCAGATTATCGCGTTCTCACGCTCTTAATATATCTATGAACTATCTGATTGGCTGGTTTAAAAATATTGAGCTAAAGGTCACAATATGATTGGTTAATGATACTAGTTTATAAAAGTGGACCCGGTTGGAGTTTCCACACAGTAATATAATATTCTGTACCTTCGCAGTTCACGCCCTTGTAGCCCTCCATACACGTACACGTGAAGCCTCCACTGTTTTCATAACATGTGCCACCATTTTGACATGGGTTGGAGTGACACTTAAGTTCCTCTAGAATACAGAAGACAATACGATAAAAACGTTATTGTTTAGTTGAACGAATAAGCTATGTACAGACTATCATGCCTGCATAGAGTGGTTTTACTTACTGTCGTTCTTATGTAAATGAAATGCGGATTTTTGAGGATGGATGTCAATCAAGGCTGTTCCATGACATTCCATAGACACGAAAACTATGTGTTTTCCAACAATGATATGACGTCCACCAAAACCCTATTTTGTCGCGACGTAAAATTGTACGATTCCTTGCGTTAACAAAATCGTTTTTGATCGTTGAACAAACAATACTTTTCAAGTAATAGATATGAGACATAAAAGAAAGACAATGGAAATAAGATCTACTGACTTAACCTGTATTTGTGTATACTCACTATTTCATGGGTTAAGTAAAATAACTCTGCTATTGACGATTCTTAAAACTCCAGTATATGCGGGCTAAGCTTCACTTTGGGAAGCACCGGTGACGTGCGCTGCTAATGCGCCGTCTCTCACCAATGCGACCCGGATGTCGTATATGAGTAGAGTTATTTGTTGGTTCTCTCCTGTGCTTCGAGGGTGTTTCTCCGGGTTCTCCGTTTTTCCTCCCTCCGCAAAAGTCAACTACTAAATTCTAATTCGATCTTTGGGCTTTCACCTAGTTTGGAGTCTAGCTCTGTTGTGATTGTCCCACGCTGTGATACAACAGCTAAAGCTAGTAGATTTAGATTTTTTTTACGTCTGTAATCAAAAGCAGAAATTATAATAACAAAACGCCAAGCAACTTCTTGATTTGAGGCTAAGCCCGCATAAACTGGAGTTTTAAGAGTCGTCAATAGATTTTCAAGCCAGATAATTATTAACACAACGATCAATTGTTCCACATACCTTCACAGTCGTTTCCCCGGTATCCTTCCCTACATACACATCTGTAGCTGTTGAGCTCTGATATACACGTTCCTCCGTTCCGACAAGGGTTTGGGTGACACTTTTCCACTTCTGTTTAGTTGGGATGCAATAAAGAAATTACATAGTTACTAAATATCGCCACTCTGTATCTGATCATTATGTCTATAGACCTCTTAACCTTGGGCGTAATATTTTCCCATTTCAGACCACGTGTCATTCCCTAGAGTATCATTTTTTTGTTGAATGGTTGTGCATGAAAAGACACATGAACATGAATACAACTCAAAGAAATAACGCCCAAGGTAAAGAAAGGTCTATATGATTTGAATTTGTTTCAATCACAGTCAAATGCAATGTTTAAAAACCTGACCAATGCTTGATCATTGAGTTCGATAAATTAAGGTCTTTCTCACCTCGGCAGTATAGACCTTTGTAACCATCCGAACACAAGCAGTGGAAAGTGTTAGCGAACATTGAACACGTGGCTCCATTAGCACAGGGGCTGCTTTCACAGAGGTTTATTTGTTCTGAAAATAAGCAAATGATACGTGAGACATGGACTAGACAAACTTGGCCAACCAACCAACCCACCAACC